TCAGGTGAACCGTCTGCTCGTTTGGCAACTTTTCACACGTAAAAAATAAAGAAAACAAATTGTGCTGTTGAAGTGGCTAAGGTCTGGGCTGAAAAGATATGATCTGTCATCGTCACGTACAGAAGAAGAAGAATTGTCCGAAGAAATTCAGTAATTCCGACATCTTTAGTCAGTGCACATAAAGTGGATGGCTGGATGTCTGAAAAAAAAATTAAGTAGAGGGACAGTATAAATTAGGTATTAACTGAATATTTTTTTTTAAATTGCTGAGGCGATAATCCATCAATTTAGAAACTAAATTGGGCCTATGCCCGGTACTGGACATCAACCGGCTGAAATGATAATAATGATGAATACCTAGTCTTCATATAGAACAACTAGGTATCTCCCTCTTCACATGGTTGGCAACGGATTAGAGTTAGTTTAGGGGGTTTTTCAAAACTGTCTTTTTCATATTCTTTGTGATTTTATCGTATTCAAAATCACACTAAACACAATATTAATGTGAAATACAAAAAGAACTCGATAATTATGTAAGTAAGTACTTATTATAATATTGATACTGAGAGCGCATCACTTCACTACCTAAATATTTTTTGGTACTGATTTAAAGTAAACAAACACGGCGATTAACCAGCACCGAGTACTCGGTATTGCTCTATCCCTTTCTTTATCTTAAGAAAAAAAGAAAGCGATGCGTATTACTTGTGGCTCGTGGTAATAAAGAATACAGCAATCTTAATTTGAGTGTAAAGAACGCCCCGGTAAACTTTTGCAAAAGTAATAACTGTATTTTTTTTTAATACAATTAAATGTTAACCAACATTACCATATTTTTCAAATAAAATTACTACAGGAATAGTATTGTCAGAATACTTTACTAGAACTCGAGTTTGCTCTTTTTTACTCGAATAATATCGTTATAGTCAACATTTAAAACCTTATTTGTAGTGCAAGTAGTAATCACCAGTAGCGATTTTATTCATGTAAATAATTATACTAAACCTGTAACGGAATAATAAGGATATGGTTATTATATAAATGCTAGTTTCAAAATTACTCACAGGAAAAATGTGAAAAAAATTTACAAGATGTAAAAGGATGTCTACATGACGAATATGCAATAAAACCCAAAGTATCGTTATAACACATTACCATATTATTCGGTGGGAGGAGCGATATGTTATACATATATGAATCAAAAGTATAAAGTAATTTAAATTTTGTAAAATAGCGCCATCTCTTGGCTAGCGAACCTTACCTACCATACCGTAACCTACTATAGGTTACTCACTTTTATCCGGCCGGCTTTAATAAGTATTTAAATAACTAGATGGCGCCAAAGACTTTATAACACGACCACCAATGACTTGATTATGAAGATTGGGAACTGTGTTTTTATTTTTAATATTTAGAGGTGTTACTAATGTGCAATTTGCGTTCTTTGGTATAAAAAGTACATGATTATTGTATTTTACCTGTACCTTTACATATAACAAACAAAAAAGTATGATCAAATGTTTATTTTTGGGAAAGTTGTAACTTTTTCATTGAATTTACCTTTGTTTGTTTCAAGTTTTACGCTTAATCTACCACTAATGTAATACACTAGTTTCTCGATTTTTAAGAATATTGTTTGTATTGCATTGACTTTCTCTTATATTCTTTACTTACTAAAAGCAACCGTAGATGTCACTGCAAGCTTTTGAGTAATTTAATCTAGTGGTTTTACTTCAAATAAAAATATATTTTATTTCTGTGTACTGGGGAAAATTTATTTTTAATAGTATGTGGTAACATAACAGTGCTTGACGTTTGCTATAGACATACTTGTTTACATCTTGATTGTACGACATGAGTAATTTACCACTTTGATTCTAAAGTTTAAAGCGGAAACAGAATTAATAAGGAAAAAAAAATAATAAGGAAAGTAACGAGCAGGCGGTTCACCTGATGTTAAATGATTATCGTGGACATCTACAACACCTCATAGGTTGCGGATTTGTTGCAGATTCAAAAATATGGCATGCTTATATCAAAAGAAATATAAAAGTGTAATACTTCCACTAGCACAGGCCTTCTTGTTTTGTGTTTGACACTGTTTATTTGATAGATAGAATAAAATTAGACACGATAGGACAGGTATTATAACTTATTGATTCAGCGATAGAGACAATCCGTAGTTTAAAAAAAATTAAGTAATGCTTGGGAGCCTAATATCTTACTATTGATATTAATTTTCTTTTAATATTTTATCAGTTTAACAATTACGGTTTAACAGATTTTGTTTAGTGTAAATTCTTTAAAATATAATTAAGTTATACAGGGAGGATTTTTTAAGTGTATCCATTTTTTTAATAAATTCTAGACATTAATAATGTTATATAAAAAATGATAAATATTTAAGATCACTCGTAATTAATTAAATACTTTCATTTGGACTTATCTCAAAAAGTGTGTGATGTATGGGCAACTCATTTATTTTACGCGCGATCATTCATATTCACAACTAACTCGCACACAAGTTCATTTCAAAAGTATACGACGCATTTATGAATGACAACCGCATTGTCAACAAGTTCTATTTTTAGGGAATGGAATGGCAATTTTTTTTAAAAGAAAGTTTGTCTTTATTTCAATATACGATTATACTACCGAGTCTAAACCCTCTGCGTAAATTTGGGCACCTTTAGAAAAGCCACACTGTATTAGAAATGCTAGGCCGTTGTACTTTTCCTCAATCACGAATTTTATGTTTCGGTGAGCTGGCCAGAATATACAAGGAAAGTTTGGTACATTAAGCAGTATTATCAAGAGATCAAAAGATTTCAAAACCTTTTTGTCATAGCTGACACCTAGCCATTAGCGAGATAATACTGCGATACTTGTAGTCCATGGTAGAGTTGTAGAAGTACCTTTTGCATGCATGGGGTGGTTCGTTCAGGAGGGAGGTACTGCGGCCTTACAGAAAACGGGAGTAAAGAAGATGGTAAATTTTAAGCGATGCGTCTGTTTAGATAGGTAACACAGGCCCGCCCTCTAGTAGAGTTGGCAATACAACTCCTCGGCCGGCGGTAATAACATAATAGATGAACTGCCACAGCTTGATATGAAAGTAAATTGAACCCTAGAATATTCCACTACTGAGTAAATATATTTATATTTTTTAACAGTATATAGCACGTAGCTCGGAATTTCTTTCGTAATAGAGTTCGTTATGAAGACATCCGCAGTAGAACAAAGATTACCGACACAGCTCAGAAGATAAATAGGGTGAAGTGGCGATGGGCCGGCCATATAGTAAGTAGAACCGATAACCGATAGGGAAGAAAGGTTCTCGAAGGGCAGCCAGTATATAATATTATAGGTATTTGCAATAAGTATTAATTTTCCTCAGTTTGTGATTTCTATATTTCTATATTTAATAAAAAACATTGCCATTACTTTAGGATAATATTATCCTGTGTTGTAATGACGTTTTACAAACATAAATTTCACGCAGACAAACACCCAGATGCGAAACAAGTATCTGTGGGTCACATAAATAGTTGTCCCGTGTGGGGATCGAACCCACGACCCCCGACGCCGAAGCCAATACCTTGGTAACTGCGCCACAGAGTCATCACGATTGATCTGATGTTAAGTGATAACCGCCGCCTATGGACATCTGTTACACCCGAGGGTTGCAGATGCGTTGACAACGATGGTTGCAGAAGCGTAATAAATTATTCCTCATTGTTTTGCTTTAATATCGTTCATTCATAAATCAGGTATGATACACTATTAACAATTTAGTTTAAACAAAGTCCTGATAAACCTCGGACTATTTGGATACTGCTTTCATACGTGGTTTGTTGAAAATAAAACCCCCATTGAAAATAGATATAGTTAATTTATTGAATAAGTAAAAGTTCCTAACGATAAAAAATGTACACACAATCCTATCTACCACGCAAACTTCCTATTTACAACGTTGGTATTATCTAAGATATTTCCCTGACACCTGTACATACGTCGATAAGCCGTCGCCAATTACAGATATCAAGTGCTTAATAAATTAAACGAAAAAAAAAATCAGCTTTGGTCTAGACTATAACATTGTACAAAATTAAATAGGTAAAAAAGCAACACTTTCAATAAGAACTTCGCGGGACACATGAAAAATAGTCGAAAAAACTGACAAATTAAGCAATCGGTAGAACTTGGTTCAAGAAACGGTAATTAAAAAAAAAAACTATCACTGTGTTTTATCTATGACAAAATATTAGCGCCTATTCTACAGCTAAATAATCTCGTTGACTGATAAAATAATTAAAAATAAAGAATCAATAGTTTACGACTGCGAAAAATTTATACATCACAGAATAATATGTAAATGCCTTTAAAGAAATAAACTAAGGAATTACTCGATTTTTAGTATTTTTCGTTTTGATTTGATATGTTGTAATTCCATTGAGAATTTATTACTCGCACCAATTATGTTAAAAGTTGGAAAATTTATGGATAGAATTCGCGCCCAAATGTTTTACAACAATAAGAAAACATTAGCGCCTTACTATTTAGTTTCAGTTAACAAATTAGATACCGTTTGTTTAGCAACGTTAAAATACCATTTCAAAGAAAAATAATAAAATTTTTCACGAAAAGTACAAAAACTGCAAGTTTTTGATACAGAAAAACTACAAGGCGGCTTATGCCATTTGAAATTTCTATCATTACAACATGCTATATTCATTAAGATTGTAGTCTATGCGGGATGACGAAACGATAGTAATATTTTTTTTTAGTTTACGAAATAATTAGAAAACATTAATGAAATATGTACATCTATGTAACTTTGATACACGATATAATTTGTCTTGTGCTCTGTTGCTAACATAATATCGAGTTCACCGTCGACAATTTACGGTTTTGTCACAGGCTAGTGACAGAAGTAAATTCAACACTACCAATGAACTCTGCGTAAGTCCTCGAGTTAAAATCTAAGTTCCAAAGCTTTAGCTAGACTCCCGGCTGTTCTCACTCGAGCCTATGGGGTTGGGGTGGGACGCGGTCGGGGCCGCGTCGGGCGCCACGATTAGGCCCTCCTTGATCCTCTTCTTCTGCTTCATCCTCCTGTTCTGGAACCAAATCTTCACCTGGGTCTCGTTCAGCTGCAGCGCGGACGCGATCTCTATCCTGCGCGCCCTGGTGAGGTACTTGTTGAAGTGGAACTCCTTCTCGAGCTCGGTGAGCTGTTTGTTGGTGAAGTTGGTGCGGCCGGTGTTGTTCAGGTTGAGGAGCGGGTTGGCCAGCATCTGGCTGCCGGAGGGCGTCCGGAGACCGTCCTGCGGGCTGCCGACCACACCCTGGCTGCTGAACTCCGCCGGCGGGATCATGAGCTTCGGGGCTGCAAGGTGGGGAGACACCGCGTTAGTTTTATTTACGTGAGATAGTAGGCAAGCGAGCTGGTGGTTCACCTGATGCTAAGCGATAACCGTCGCCCATGCACATCTGCTACACATACAGGTTGCAGATGTGTTGCCACCTTATATTTAAGTGGGCCCCAGCTACCCCACTCACTGGACGAAACGCAGGAGTTTAAGACCTCCACTTCACGTCTTCTGTGAGTTTTTGGTACTTACCCGGACGGACCTGTCCAAACCAAATCAAATCAAATCAAAATCATTTATTCGAAGTAAGATTTTTTTCAAACCATTTTCCGACGTCTTATAATTTTTATTATATTCCATATGTGCAAAAGCCAAAGCTGTGGCGTGGCCCTACCGCGGTTTATGATGTACAGGTATTTTGATGTATCATAATTTTAAGAGAGTGTATTATACTTTTAGATTATTTTTGATAATACAGGTCAACAGGTGTTAAAGAAGAGTGAATAGTTCTGTTCTGATGTAGTGCGTTCATCACGTTCGATTGCATCACCACCAACAGATCGGATAGCAGTCAATTACTAGCTGTGTCTTGTTAAAAAAAAGATAATGGAATTGAGATTACGCCAAATCAATAATTCAAAACTAACTAAACAAATACAGTTAAAAAAAATCATCCAATTGTTATTCCGCATTCGTACGTCAATAATGGCGATCATTCTGCACAGTTTGCGCGGAACAGGTTTGTTTACACGAAACACTCGTTGCGAACGTCCCTATAACCGTCCCGTCCGTGGGAGCAGCTCTAATGTCATTTGTGACAGGTGTCAATTTTTTGTGGCGCGCACCGAATGGGAGATAGGAGATATTTCAATAGAGCGCGGCGTCCCGCTGCGTCCGCGCGGATCACATGAAGTTTTGACGTTTATTACGGCGGATAAGTAAACAGGTATTGTGCTACGGTCGACCGCTGTCGGTCAGTTGGCAGTTTCGTTTCCTGACAGTGTCGGAGTCGGGAGACACCGCGCGAATGTTTGCTTGCCTCTCGCTCCTCAGCGGATGCGTTTACTGAAATTACCGCCTCATCTCAAGTAGGAACACACGGATCGGAAGACATAATGCCCGCACTAATTACGACACATTTGACTGGCGTTCCGTTCATCACGGTGTGACTTGATTTGGTTTTCTTTTGTTTTTCAAATTCAAATCAAATCTTTATTGAATATAGAAGCATTACAACTTATTTATTGATCGTCAAAAACACTTCGATAAATCTTTGAATTAAAAATTGGCTGAAGGTACTAATGAAATTGTTAGTGCTATAAAAAGAAATGAACTGATCTCCGAAGTGTAATGTACCGTGGGTGACCAACTTGTGACACAGGACGTTGTCTTGATGACGCTTATTTTTTGCATGGGAAATACATTCATATTCTCTATCAATTGAATGAAATTATGATTCGATATTGATTTTATTATTATTCTTTAGATTGCCAATGAACGTAAGGGAGAACCTTTTTAAGTATGGATGACATTGCTAGTTGTGTTTTCAGTTCTTGGGTCTTTGTTCGCTTTGGGTGGCTTTAGGCTCCTGCTTTCGACTGAAGTCCGATAGCATTTTTCGCGATTATTCATTCATTTGTTATTAATTTATTGTAAAACTAGCTGCTGCCCGCGACTACGTCTGCGTAGAATAGGCTGAAGCGTAACATTCAAACAGAAAGACAGTACGAATAATAAAATACGTCAAATATGTATATAAATTATAGCCTATGTCTTATTCTGATGTATAAGCTATATTATTGCAGTTTCATTAAAATCCATTTAGCAGTATTTTCGTGAAAGAGTAACAAACATCCATCCATACATACAAACTTTCGCCTTTATAATATTAGTAGAGATTGTAAGAATTGTAAAACTGTAATAAGTGTGTTTTACACACTTGTGATACTTTTCGCATGGAACAGTTTTTTATTATTATTTGATATAATCTTTTTTGAACTGTTATAACCGTTTTTTCCAGATCATCTCCTAATTCTTTTTTTATCCAAAATTATGTTATAATAATATTGTTAGTATAGTGTTCATTCGTTGGCACCAAGTTGCGGAAAGCATTGACTTTTCCCATAGGAAAGGATGCGTCTAGTGTGGGGGTTAGAATATACAATTCTCTATATTTATAAATCTATATTTAAATAAGCCATTTTACGGCCTTTCAAAAGTTGATGACTTTTTTATATTTTCCGCAAGAGCTAGCAGTGCGTTTAATCATCGTGGTCAGGTTCTTTCGGCCTATGTTTTCATGTTCATTATTCGCCAATCTTTATTGATCTAATATTTACAAGATTAAATCTATCTAAAATTACATATTATCTAATAAACATAATCCACGCGGCATGGTGCCAAGAACGCTAGCTGCATTTCCTCGCTGAATAGTTATGCTTAACCTTTGAGCGATACAAGAACCAGCTCTCTTGTCACCAGCCGCGGCGTTAAGCCTAGGACATAAACTTTTAAAAAATTTCGATGTGCGGGGACCCCACGAACCTAAAGTTTCAACAGCAAATGGCACAAATACATAATCTAAACATAAAGACTCATATTTGCGCCATTTACTTACTTCAGCTGTCTCCGATGCCGCCCCGGCCCTGACCGAAATACCCCTTTAGATGAGAGGCAGCCAAAGTGTACTACTCCACAACAAACACCACACAAGTAGCGTCCCAAACAAGAGCTTTGCCTCTCCCAAGGGATCAATGTTAAACCGTCTTTCGCCTATGTTCATAATATTGATTTGCATGCTAGAAAATTAACCTCAAAAATATTTGTGTGCAAATGACGATTCTCTATCATTTTAGCAACTTTAAATGTTTAATTAACTATATAATTAACTTTTAATGAATTGTACATACAGGATTAATCATGAAGATTCCTCTAGATACGTTGGATTGGCGGACTTCACGTATCTTCAAAATATTTTTTGTTACGATTTCGAAAACATGCAGGTTTCCTCACGATGATTCCCTTCACCGCTGAGCAAATAATAAATCGGCACTTAAAATTAACATTTTCATTGGCACTGGTTCCGGGATTCGAACTCGGCTTGCTCGAGTATATTGAATTAAGAGCGAGCGCCCGGACACTGAGCTATCACGGCTCTTAATAAATTTGCACTTGGCATTATAATTTAAAGATAAATAGAAAACAATTACAAAATGTTTTTTTTTAAATTAAATGGAACTATCTTGGTTTATTACTCATAGCATGATCTTAATCTTTTAAATCTGATTTAAAGATCTAAGATACGGACAAAAATTAATCTTTATAATTATATAAAAACTAGCTTCCGTATGTTTGTGTCCACAACACTTAAAGATGGATTGACTTGACATTTGTTCACAAAGTAGAGAGAAAGTAGTGGAGAGAAATGTTTTAAATAAATATTTTTTTTTAGTTCCAACGCACACGAAACGTGGTTGGATTCAGCTAGTAGTATTATAATAGTGAGAGCATATTTATCGTAATTATATTTCGATCGACGAGTCCATCCTTGTTGTCCAGTATGATAATAGGCAATTAAATAAGTTATTCATGATTGACACCATTGTTTTAGCAACAACATAGGCCCATGAAAATGTAAAGAGAACTAATAATTCTTTTGACTCATTTCATATCGGCAGTCGATCAGCAAGACAACAAAGATTTTGTTTTTATATCTTCGGTTTATACATCGAACTTTCTCGATTAGATTCGTAGCTTACAACATATTGGTGACGGTAATCGGCTACCTGAGATTGGTATCAGTTTCTATATCTTATATATTCTTATAATCTGCGTTGTTGTGACAAACATATTTCGCAATTTATTTTGCCAATATTTTTTCCATTACGACATTAATGTAATGCTCGTCATTTAAACGTCATCCAATCGCCTTAAACCGTCAGAAAGTTAACACGACTTCTTCAAATGACATCGAAATTTAGTTTGTAGTTGTGAGGGAATATCGTTTTTATATTTTTGTTGTATTAAATTATTTTACGTACTGTTTTGACCACGTTGTGTGGCTGAATACTCGAAAGAGTCATAATTTTAAGATAATTTCTTCTATTTCACTTATTCTTTTCGGTGATAACTATGAAATTGTGCTAACTTCATTAAAGTCATGGAACAGTAATAATGTAACACTATTTCACGATACGCAATTCAAGTTTTGTTGGAGGGAGAAATTATATTGGCGCACAGAAATGCTAAATAACGGCACGTTAGCAACTTCTCAACGCTATCTGTTGATTCAACGACCGTAGCGAAGAAAGCAATATCTAATTTGCCAAGCTGCTTGTATTTTATGCATTCTAATTTATTTACGCTACCAGGTGCGTTAAAAATGGTGTTGCAGATTTAAAATTCAAATCACATTTGGCTGAAACGGATTTCAGAAATTTGCGCGTTACATTTTTTTTCCGATTTATGAAGTTTATGCATTTAAATAATCCTAGAAACTTATCTTCAATATATACTGCGGAGGCTCTGTTTTTGGTGTTTGTTAATGAGGTTACGATCTTCTTCTTAAGTCCATGTGGTCTGTGCAATTTGTGTATTAAGGTAAGGTTGATTAATTATTATTCAATCATGTTTAATAATATAGGTGATGCATGTCCTTACTGGCTGCGTGACATTTAAAAACTGTTCCGCTTTACATTATATGATATGTATGGCATATATGTGAATGTGACAGATTATATATAACGAAACGGAAAGAGATGGCAATCTAATTACACCAATTGGTTTAATTTGAGCGCCTCAATTTCGGTGCGCTGGTGTTATATCTACCCTTATTTGTATAAACATCATTGTTATTATTATATGAGAGCGTAGGTACGTTGAAAAGTTTGTAGCTTAGTCAAGAAAAAAAATATGTACAAATATAATTAGAAAATAGTGTAATATAATAAATAAAAAATAATAATTACAAAATAATATAAATCTAACTCTGTCGTTTCGTCACTGGCTTTCCAAAGCTTCTATTTTAGTAGTTATTCTTGAAGTGTTCAAAAAAGTTATCTAACATAGTTTCATTACGTTTTCATTAGATTTTTTCTTCTGCCTAGATTGTTGTCTTGATCCTGAGGTATAATGACTCTCTGTGAAATTGCGCTTTGATCTCACATATCACATTAACTCAATTATGAGGTGACAATGCATCTGCAACCCTACTGGTCTTGCAGATGTTCATGGGCCGGAGGTTATCACTTATCATCAGGAGAACGGCAAACTCGCATTCTACCTTCTTACTTAAAAAAATAGCCCAACAAAAGCCCGCATCATGACATAAAAGTTACAGCCTATACATATCCCATTGCTGGGCAAAGGCCTCCTCTATACAGAGGGTATCAGGGCATAGTCCACCACGCGGCCCCACTGCGGATTGGCGGACTTCACATATCTTCGAAATATATTTTTATTACTATTTCGAAAATATGCAGGTTTCCTCACGATGTTTTCCTTCACCGCGGAGCACGTGATAAGTCAGCACTTAAAGTTAAAAACTTCATTGGTGCCGGCACCGGGGATCGAACTCAGGTTGGTCGAGTATATATAGAATTAAAGGCGAGCGCCGGGACACTGAGCTATCACGGCTCTTATCATCATGACATACAAAAAACAATTGAACTATTAGGCAGTCATTGGTAGAAAAGTAAAAATATAATAATCGTTGATATATGGGCAGGAGTCAAAGATAGATCCAAATGAAGTCTGACAGAAAAGCGACTTTTTAAGTGGAATGAAGATGTTTCGTACCCTTTCATTTGCAGGCAATTTTGTTCGATGTCAAACTTAGTGGATTTTGTCAAAGTATTTAGTTAATTGATCTATCCTGTGACCCTTCCTGTCCACGCAGTATGTCCCGTTGTCCACTTAATCCTTTCCGCTTCTAATTGACAATCTGTGACGTTGCAAATGACGAGGGGTTGATATTAAAGACTTGTTACTTGCAACTGGGACAGTTTGCTCAAGGAAAATCTATCAACACATGAAGCTATAGAACCAAACATACTAGATAAGCTTAAGCCACAATATTTGATTAGATTTAGGCTTATTCCGAGTACTAGTGAAATTCAAAAGTTATTATCGTTTTAGAAATTTCCATACCAAGCCCGATTTATTGTTCAACATTTAAATAATCATATTTAGCTAACGTTTCGTTGGCAACTGTTCTAAAATGGGTTCGATCAAGTTTTTCGAGAATCACAAATGCTGTTGATTACTCTTCTCTAAACAGCGAAGTAAAGGACTTAAAAGGTATTATCACGGCGTTGTGGCGTCTTTTTAGTAAATAGGTATGACTTTAGATGCTTTAATATATGAATAGTGTTGGTGTGGCTTAAGTGTCTATCTAGTTCTCCGAAATATCGTAGCAAGTAATGTGGACCCAAAAAGTAGACTGCCTGAGCTACCAACGTTTGTGAAATAAATATCATATCTAAATCGGTTGCGGAATTCCACTGCAAGGGCTATAAGTTGGCTATGAAAGAACTACGGTAGGTAACTCGTCAGTTAAATTTCTGATTTCGTATAGGAAATAAAGCAGGCTAATTGTGGATGCTAAGCTTTTATATTTGTGTTCTTTTCACGTGAAACAGAAGTAAAGTGACATTATTTTATGTACATACAGCTCATAAAAATGTCACGTCGACTTCGTTTATGACTTGCCTTAGGCAAAAGAGATAAGTTATTTCTTACAAACATGGCGATCTCTTAGAAATACAATTAAGTCTATATGCTGTTTCATGATTTCTAGAATATCCTATGATTGATTTTAACTTATATATATACATAACTCCAAAGCACTTTTTTTGGGAACCTGAATTTTTTTGGACATACCCCAAAATATGATGTAGGTATCTCAAATATATTTTCACATAGCCGTAATAAGCGTCTAACAGTAAATATTACTTATGTTGGACAGTTTATAAAGTACAAGGGCAGCCTTACACATTTTTTTATACAGTGCCTTTGATATGAATGATAATTCCATGTTAATTTATCGTCTATCATCAAACCTAAAAATTTTGTGTCTGTTTCTTCTATTTTATTTCCATCAGAAATAATATTTAAGTTAGATCCCTGTGTGTTTCTTTTGGTCCCTAAGACCATTAATTCGTGAAATTTCAGCAGAAACGTAATATTTCCTAGACGATTCGACAAAAATCCGAACTATGTAAACGCCTACTACTATGACTTTTATTAGTTTTAATATTAGAGTAAAGTTACAGCCTATACATGTCCCACTGCTGGGCAAAGGCCTCCGCTATACATAGGGTATCAGGGCATAGTCCACCACGCAGCCCCACTGCGGATTGGCGGACGTCACATATTTTCGAAATATATATATTTTTTGTTATTATTTCTAAAATATGCAGGTTTCCTCACGATGTTTTCCTTCACCGCGGAGCACGTGATAAGTCAGCACTCAAAGTTAAAAACTTCATTGGTGCCGGCACCGGGGATCGAACTCAGGTTGCTCGAGTATATTGAATTAAAAGCGAGCGCCCGGAAACTGAGCTATTACGGCTCAATATTAGAGTACCAAATTTAAATTAAATTGTTATATTAAGTGGGCTAAAAATTGCGTCTTTAATTTCCAAATTGAGTTCGAAGCTTCTGTTTTGTCTTAGGAGATTAAAATGCATACTATTGTCTATGGTTGGAACGACTTTATGATTGGCTGTAGCAGAGCGCGCCACCAGGGAACGAGTTGCGCAAACAGGCAAGCAGACGTGCAAACAGATGGCCATGTTTGCCCCCAGAACGGGTTGCGTAGGACACTGCCGCGAAATGGGACCGCTCTGTTTACACGGCCACGGAGTTTGGGTGATGTTTGCAATGGCTCCGCAGTCCGTCTCGTTACATCGTGCGGAGATATAATTTTGCTTATGCATATTCTTTTGACCACAACCCCTTTAGAGAACGTATTATAAATAATTTATTTGGCCCGCATTCTGCATATCATAGACAAGAACTGAGAATCGCAACAGACACGTAAAAAAGAAAAGTAAAGTACCGGCCTTTAAATGTCCCACTGCTGGGCAAATGCCTTCTATGTACAGAGGGTATCAAGGCGTAGTTCATCGATATTTTTTCCTTAAACCGAAAGCATTACACGTTAGATGTATTCTTTATATTTTGAAAATATTTATTTGCTGTTGTGGACAAACACTTAGTAACAAAAAAAAACACTAAAACAATTAATGAACAATTAACTTAAACAATTAACACTTCGATTAAGTTACGATTTCTTCGAAATACAATGTCTTAGTCTTTTATATTATTAATTAAAATCGACTGAATTCTCAATAATTCCTATTAAACTCGTCAATAGCGTTCGCGAGCTCCATCAATATTTGCTCTGACGCGAGACCATAGACAAACTACAGTTTTATGAGGCGTTACGGTGTGTTTTGGCGCGCATTTCCCTATTTATAAACTCGAGCGTCAGTTTCTGAAAAGTCGAGTAATTGTCAACACGGGGCACTGTACAAACTGCTTACTTAACGAACTGTGTAAGGACATGTTTGAACGAGCCAAGGAATAAATTGCCGATCTGTGTTAGCGTTAACTTTGGATTGAATAAAAATAAGACAGCAAAATATATTAGGTATCTGATTAGTAGCTCAACCAACTTATAAAAATTGAATTGCCTACATAAATGATAGTATATTATAAATAATAATAATATAAAAGACGATAGCTCTAATGTAGTGATATTTTTCAAGTTAGAGTAAAAATAGAAAATTATCATAAGTACAACGGAAGTTGCAGGCTTCTTGTGTGCTCCTTTTATCGCATGAGTAAAGTTTAGGCCATTGTGTTGCAAGTGTTTTTTTAGTGTCTATGGTACTCGTGTATAGTTGAAAATTGACTGACACCAATGCGGGTAATATTTAATTCTCATTTTACATTCTCGAGCATTGCTGATATGCGTTTGAAGTTTTTATTTGAAAAAGTTTACATATAAATTATCTTTGAAAGTTTCGGTCAAGGACAATGCCCGCAAATGTATCGCAAGCAGAGCGTAAAGCGTGAAATTTTGCAGTTATTTCTGAGATTTTCTTGAAGTATACTAACTTTTGCTGTTTTAAGCAGTTTTTTTCACAAGTTACACCCATAAGCGTTGAAAAGCTAAGAAATATATGGTACTATTAATTATTTGAATGTATTTAAATTTAGTTTCTAGTTGTTAAACTATGGTATACCACAGGCATACAATAATAAAGGACAACTTGGCGTGGTATTTTCTTATTTGAAACGTCTATCCAGTAACACAGCATCGGCGACGTTTACCAAGTATCCGTGCGCAAAGCTTGTGCCTCCTTCACGCCGTTTCCCGCCTTTTTAATCTGCGCAACCCGATGGCGGGCGCGTCGCAGCCAGTGAAACGTCAAAGGCCTGTCCGGCGCGCTGTTTGCGCAGCCTGTAATAGTAGAAGGCCACCGCGACATCGCTAATCCATTACGCCGCAAGCAAATGTTTGCGGAGCAGCGACTGCTGACAGTTTTCGGCTTTTACCAATCCCGCACCAGCGGCCCGGTGTTCGGTTCCACGCGGTTGCGCAACTGGTTTAATATTTTCTCTCAAACGCGTAGCTCATACGTGTGTTTGCGTCGAACTGGGCCCGAAAACAGGAATCTTTGTTTATACGGCAAGTATTCCCGTTCGTGCGACGATATTGCGCGTAAATATCTTACTAAGGTAAACGAGAACGCTTAAAGTGGATATGGAATATTAAAAAAATTATTTAAATTGAACATACAAATATTTTTATTCAATAATTCAATATAGAAGCATTACACTTAGCGATTGTCAAAATATCACTACCGTATAATTTAAAGAATCTTGCTTCGTGTTCAACATTAGACTAAAACATGCTGATATTATGATGATGATCAAGTAGTTACTTGATCATCATCATCATCAGCTAGTTAGCTCAAGTGAAATTAGAATTAGTTATAGAAAATTAGGAAGTCGACTGTGTAGGGAAATGTTAAAATGAAAACAAGTTAACGAATCAAAAGAGAGGACAGCGGAGGCCTTTTGCTTGTAGAAGGCAAGGTGTGCAGAAAATGATAATAATAATTACGTCAGGTCTGAGTCTGAATTAGTCCATATATCACCTACGACTTTGCCGTTTACCATGCCTTAAATTTAAAAAATAATCGAAGATAAACGGAATGTATTCTAAAATAATTAAATGCGATGTATTTGGCTCGGGAATGTGTTTGGTTAAAATTCGAGGTAAATGTTTATCATTGTGAGTTAAAGCTAACTATTATGTAAATTGAAAAGAAAAGGAAAGAAACAAAATTTAAGAACATAATAGAATAGAAAAATCTTTATTGATTCTACAGAAACACCGTTTACAAAAAGAGAAAGAAATAACTAATTTTCATATAATAATAATAATAATAATAAAAGACGAACAACTATCGGAAATACATCCTAAGGGATGGCACCGTCGACATCTGTCGAGCTTGTGGCCATCCCGGGGAGTCGCTTCGGCATGTTATTTCCGGTTGTTCCATGCTTTCTAACTCTGAGTATCTGCATAGACACAACCTAGTAGCCAGAATCCTACACCAGGATCGGAAATTGCCGTACTATAAGTACTCTCCGGAGGCCGTGCTCGAAAATGACCGCGCCAGGCTCTATTGGGACCGGCCCATCATCACGGACAGGACGATTGTCGCGAACAAACCTGACATCGTGGTGATGGACCGGGCACAGTCGCGGGTATTTTTGGTCGACATTACCATTCCATATGACGAGAACCTCGTGAAAGCCGAAACAGATAAGAAGACAAAGTATCTGGACCTGGCTCACGAGGTGACCGACATGTGGGGTGGTGTGCCGACCGAAATTATCCCGATAGTCGTGTCTGCGAATGGGTTAATCCCAGTCAGCCTCTCCAAACATCTGAGGCGACTGGGACTTCGGGACGGATCGCTCCAAGCTCAAATGCAGAAGGCGGTGCTCCTCGATACCGCCCGCATCGTCCGCCGGTTTCTCTCCCTATCGCCCTAACCCTCGGCCGTTTGGTCTCCCCTGCCGAGGGCTTCCGTCTGGTTGGGTCCTATTTATATATGTATTATATACAACATTATATGTATATATTAATTTTTATTCATAATATTTATTTTATATTTTATGTATGTGTAGATAATTATGAGGTATAGGAAATAATACAAATTCTATGTCATTACACAAAGTAGCTCTTCAGTAGCTTTGTAGTCCATATTTAGAAGTCTCTGATTCATAGTTTTCTTAACTTTAATTTTAGTAAGGGTATATATATTGAGTTCTTTATTTATTCTATTGTACAAATGTCCCCCGAGATAACAGAAAACTCTCTTACACATATTAGAAGTATGGTTATAATGGGAGGTACACACGCGGTCTTTACGTCGCTTTTGTAGTGAAAGATTCGGTTCATGTTTTAATAGAGAATGCTTTTTTAACACCGTATACAGAATGAATAATTGTCTGACTGTAAGTACTTTAGCGTTTTTATACAGTTCAGAGGTAGGATATTTCAAGGGGAGAAAACTACTTACTTTTAAAATCAGTCTTTGAGACCTTTCTAGTGACAACAAGGAAGATTTATTAGCTCCCCCCCAGCTAGTAATACAATATATTATTAGTGATTGGCATAGAGAAAAATAGACAGATCTAATAGTAGTTGAATCGGCCACATTTCTGAGTGTTCTAAAGATATAAGTCAATTTACGTAACCTATTGGAAAGTGCGTCAATATGAAAGTTAAGTTGCAACGGTGTACATGCACAAGTAAAACAGTGGGGAAATTGACAAGTATGTGCAGTAATGTGATGAGTAGGAACAAGTGATGATTTAATCTTTTGTCTAGAGAATATCAAATACTTAGTTTTGTCTATGTTAAGGGTTAGTATGTTATCATGGAGCCATTTGGTAATCCTATTTAGCCCAGTTTGAACTGAATTGAATACATGATCCCAAGAAGTACCGCTAAATATTAGTGCTGTGTCGTCCGCAAATGAAAGAATTTTTCCATTCTCCAGTTCGAGTTTGCAAAGATCGTTAATATAGACAAGGAATAAAGTGGGGCCAAGTATACTACCCTGGGGAACACCATAACATACAGGGAGCTCATCACGTGTATGTGGACCTATTTTTACGCACTGTGTTCTATCGGTAAGGTAATCTTTAAAAAGCCTTAATTGCATACCCCTTATACCTAGCCTTTCAATTTCTTGCAACAGAATTGGAATGGAAACAGTGTCAAAAGCAAATCAAGAAATACCCCCACAACCTTTTTTTTCTTCTCTAAACCATGTATTATATGATCTGTTAGCTCATGTCCTGCGTCAGAGGTTGATTTCCCTGCTCGAAATCCAAATTGGTTAGGTGATAATATTGAGTTAGCCTCTAAGTAGCTCATTAACCTTATATACATGACGTGTTCCAAAATCTTCGACAGTGATGGTAGGATGGATATAGGTCTATAATTTGAGATTTGATTTCTATCACCACTTTTGAAGATCGGATGAATGATGGATTTTTAAAAACAGTCGGAAATACTCCATGTGTTAGTGCCAGATTACAAGCATAGGTGAGAGGGGGAATTATAACTTTTTTATGTTGTTTTATAAATCTACTAGAGATATTATCCCAACCAGCGGCGGCATTATCTCTGAGCCTGTGATTCGATTTCAGCTTCATCGGTGGGTAATTGTACCATGGAGTTGGCGATATTACTACTACTATGGAAAGGAGTCTCCTTGGAAGCGAAGTCCCTATTAATTATTTCGGCAAGCTGTCTGCCCACATTAGCAAAATGTGTATTGGCTACATTGACGCCCACATTTGGTGAGGAGAATTGTGACAAAAATTGTATGGGACTTTCCTTGCTAATGTTTCTGTTAGTGATTTTATTTACTACCTTCTATAATTTCATATTATTTGAACCTGCGTTTTTTATTTCATTACTTTCATATTCATTCTTTATTTTTTTCAAGAGGTTATTGCAAAAGTTTCGATATCTAAAAGTAAAGGTTAATTTTAGGACTTCATTATCTGGTGATTTTTTGATTTTTTTATGTAAGTTATCCCTGTGTTTTCTGCATCGTAATAGTCCTGGAGTAATCCAGGGTTTTAATATTTTTTTACGATTGGGCAAAACAATTTTCTTTGTGTTACGTTCGATAACATGTTGAAGAGATTGAACCATAGTTAGCAGCCACATTGGGATCGTTAGTAGAGTACAAAGTAGAGAAGTGGATCTTAGTCAGGTCAGTCCTTTATAATCTGTACGATATATTGTGGTAACGGCGTATTGTCTACGGAATTGACTTACGTGAAAAAGAGCTACAGTGTCATGATCAGTTAGCGACGAATGCATAAAGAGTGCCTTTGCTGGTAGTTTAGACTTAAGCATAACATGGTCAAGGCAGTTATCGTATCGAGTAGCAAATGTATGAGCCGGCAATAAACCGTATGCTGCCAATACATTAAGATACTTAATCTTATTCTGATCGTGATGATTTTCGCTAATATTGATGTTAATATCACCTACCAGAATGACACTTTTAATATGATTAATTCTGCCCAGAATGGCATCTAATGAATTTGTAAATTCAGTGTTATCCCTCGTACCGGGAGAGCGGTAGATAGCGAGAATTGAAATTTCTGAGTTAATATTTAAAAGTAAACCATTTGCGTTTCCAAAATGTAACTCCTCGGACGATATGACGAGATGACTGCTAATATAGACCACGACTCCATCATTTTGTGTGTAGTTGAGAGTTGTGGAAATGGCTTTGTAGCCATCTAAAAAGGGTAAGGTAGTTGTTGTTTGCAACCAACACTCTGTTAGAACAATAACATCCCAACGCACTTTAGTTCTTGCAATCAAAGTAAGGAAGCCAGAGTAGTTATGAGATATACTTCTTATATTTGGACATATAATTTTGAGCGACTTCTTGGTGTTGGGATCCAATAGGGAACAGTCCTCAACATCGCAAAGAGCAGATTCGGCTATGTAGAAGGAATCCAAATTGTTTGCAATATTACGTATATCATCCATTTTTAAAGCGTGTAAAATATATTTCAAAGACATAAATTTTCAAAAAATGTAAACCAATCATAATACGGTGAGTGAAATAAGTTAAGAAATAATTTATGGCTCGAGAAGTAATCATAAAGTTATTATAAAAGATAAAAAATAAAATTCTCTTTGGGCAGCCCTAGCAATGTTGTGCTTGTTAGAAAACAACATTTTCAACTCAAATTGGTTTCTACGCACTAGTATAAAAAGTAATAATTTCATATTTAAATATTTTCTTTCCGTGTAACAGCATATATGTGTATAGTGGTTAGTCATTTTAGTATATAGGATTGAGTAGCTTCCTTTGTTGTGTATAGTAACGTTGCCAATATGATGTAGTATATCTTGTGTATACGTAGTAGA